GTTTTATATCTAGCTAGTTATGCTCACTCAGCCAAAGGTACTCGTGATGCACATGTTTTATATCTACCACAAGATCATCAGAATAGATAGTAGATTTCTGTGCATCTCAACATATGATAAATGCTGCTAGTGAATTCTCTTATTATACTCACCTAACAGCTCTAGAGAGCATTCAGACTGCTGATGGTACAACATAGTATGTGGCTGATATGGGTATAGTGAGGTGTACAGATTCTATAACTTTGTCTAATGTTTTGCATGTTCTTTTCTTTCCAATGAACCTTCATCAGTGTTATTATAATTCAACTAAAATGTGTTGTTTCATTTGATAATCTAAAGGTGATCTTTCAAGAGATATGATTGACCAGAGACTTAGGATTGACACTTGACATAATAAACTTTGATACTTGGATAAAGAGGGGATGGACTCAGCCTTGGCATTCGTGATTGATAATGCTGAAGCAAGATGATTTGAGAGAAGTGTGGAGGATGTTTTGTTGCTACTTCTCAGACGTATGAGACACTATTTATTTAGTCTATAGAGTCATTTGTATCATCCTTGTATGAAGAGATAAATCAACAAAAACTATTGTGTGATACTTGTGAGTTTGGTAATTATACTATGAGCTCTTATGTTAGTTCTGGTAAAATTAGTTCTTATATTTTTGATTTGGTGCACTTAGATGTATGAGAATTCTGTTCTGCAGCTTTTATGGTTGGTTATGAATATTTTGTGACTTTTATTGATTATTTTTCCCGTGTTACTTGATCATATCTGATGAGAAACAAAATTAACATGCTTGGCTGCTTTAAAGAATTTCATAGGGTGATTCAGACTCAATATTATGTAGTAGTAAAGGTACTGAGGTCTGGTAATAAGACATAGTATACCGACGAGACGTTTGGGGAGTACTTGTCAGCCTAAGGGATACAACATTAAACTATATGCTCATACACATCAATATCAAAACAAAGTAGCAGGGAGGAAGAATATATACTTTCTAGAGATAGCTCGAAGTATGATGATCACTTGTAGAGGCAAGCAGTTTTGGCATCGGCTCAATTAATCTGCAGAATGCCCTTGATAGTGTTGAATTGGAAGTGTTCTTGTCAGATGTTAAAAGGAGATAATAGTGACATCCTCCCATTAAAGGTTTTTTGTTGTGTATACTTTGTGAAGAACAATAACCATCAGTGGGAAAGTTAGATCCTAGAGCTATAAATTGTGTTTTCATTGTTATTCTGCTACTCAAAAGGGGTATGTTTGTTCGAGTCCGATAAAGAAGAGACTATTTGTGAACATGGATGTGTCCTTTAGAGAGTTTGAATTGTACCACACCCTGGAGGTGACTTCACCTTTTGGTGACTCATCAGATATTGGAGGTATGAAGCGAGAGGGAGAGAGCAGTGATGATCAAAGATTTGTGCATGTGGGAACGATGCCTTGTCCTTTTGTGTGGGAAGGATCAACTGAGGAAGAACGGAAAAATGAGAAAAATGAATCTGAAGGTGGAGGGATTCAAGCTCAAAGAGAGCTGTGGTTGTAGACGAGGAAGAGGCAGAATGTGGGAACAATGTTTGTCGTGTTACTCATGCGATCAAGTCCGGAAATAGTATATGTCGTGTCACTCGTGCCATCAAGTCCCTTACTCGGTCTACCCCGACTCCTGAGATACCTACATCTTCCACTTTAGAATTTGATTACCTAGGTGATATGATTCCTCTTTCTTTTCCTCCCACTCCCGTGGCTTTATGGAGGACCTCTCGCAGCGATAGAGGTCATTCTTCTTATCGTTATTCTCCTGATTATTTTTTTTCTCACATCATTCCTCAATTTGCTATTCTTCTTATCGTTATTCTCCTGATTATTTTTTTTTCTCACATAACATTCCTCAATTTGCCTCATACTCTAACATATCATCTATACACGAAGCATTCATTGCATCTTTAGACACTGTCTCTATACCCAAGTGGTGACAGGTAGCTAAAGAAAATCTAAAGTGGAAAATTTCCATGTTGAAGAAACTTGGTGCTTTCAGTAAGAACGGGATGTGGGAGATAATACCATTGCCAGTAAAAAAATGAACAATTGGGTGCAAGTGGATTTTCACAATAAAATAAAATCGATAAGAGAAAGTGGAGCGTTGCAAGGCATGATTGGTGACGAAATGGTACAATCAGACGTATGACATTAAGTATGATGTGACTTTTACACCTATAGCGAAGATGGGCACAACAAGGACACTGGTTTCTCTGACTGAGAATGGTGGGTGGAGGTTACACCAACTTGATCTGAAGAATGCTTTTCTTCATGGCAAGTTACTAGAGAAGATATGGACATACCTACAGGATTCAATACATGTCAGATAGTGGGCAAGATGTGCGGGCTCAGGAAGTTGCTTTATGGCTTGAAGCAGCCTCATCGAGCTTATTTTGATAAGTTCATAAAAGCTATGGTGGGCTTGTGATATGAGTAGATCAATGTCAATCATACAGTATTATTTCATCTGGTCACATCACTGTTTGTTGTGTACATTGATGACATAATTATTACTGGTGATGATGAGACAGAGATTGTTCAACTAAATGTTAGATTGGACAAACAATTTGAGTTGAGGACCTTGGACAACTCAGATATTTCCTTGGGATTGAAGTGGCTCATGGACTAGAGGGGATGGTCTTATCTATAGAATTATGTACTAGATCTTCATAAAAACATGCATCCTGGCATGCAAGCCTGTACTCTCTCATATTAATCAGAAGACTAAGCTGAGTGTAGAGACAGTAAAACCAGTTAATCATGAGAGATATTAGAGATTACTAGGTCGTCTGATCTATTTGGTCACACGCATTCCGATATCTCATTTGCAGTGAGCATGGTGAGTCACTATATGCATGATCCAAGAAATGATCATATGGACGCAGTGTATCAGATTCTGAGGTACCTGAAGAATGTACTATGAAAGGGGTTGATCTTCAGAAAAAATGAGCATGTAGACATTGAGGACTATTGTGATGTTGACTGGGCGAGTTGTGCATATGACAGAAGATTTACCTCAGGATACTGCATATTCGTAAGGGGCAACTTGGTCTCTTGAAAGAGCAAGAAATAATCTGTAGTATCAAGCTCAACAACAGAGACAGGGTACAGGGCTATTGCCTTAGATATAAAATAAGATTGATTACAAAAGGCTATAGTAAAACTATTGATATAAAATAAGATTGATTACAAAAGGCTATAGTACTATGATTGACATTGGCTCTGAAGAGGTATTTACTCTCGTTGTTTGATCAAAAACTATTAGATTGGTTATTGCTCTTGCAACCCAAAATAAACGAAGAATACAACAAATGGATGTAAATTATGCATTCTTGAATGGAATCGTAAAAGAAAGAGTATATGTTCAACAACCACCAGGCTTCTGAGTTAAAAGGAAATAAGATGGTTCTAAAGCTAAAGAAGCTTTTTTTGGATTGAAGCAAGCACTAACAGCATGGAATAGCCTAAAAGATAAGCACTTACAAGAAAATGGTTTTATGAAATATTCTTATTAGCAAGTTTTTTACATCAAGAATAAGGATGGAGATATCTTTATTGGTTGCTTGTATGCTGATGATTTAATCTTTTTTAGTAGTAATCGAAGCATGCTTGGAGAATTTGAACAAACAATGACAAAAGAGTTTGAGATGATTGATATTGAACTCATGACACACTACTTTGGTATTGAGTCAAACAATGGGAAAATGAAATGGTTATCTCAATAGAAGGATATGCAAGAAAAATGTTGAAAAAGTTCAAAATAAAAAAAATAACATGTCCATAATACTCTCATAGATTCTAGAGTTAAATTATCAAAGCATGATTTAATTGGGAGTTTACGCTGCTCGATATGCATAAGCCCCGATATTCTTAGTAATGTTGACATGTGAACACTACATTGAAACTCCAAAAGAATCATGTGTTATATCAAGGATACGATTAATTTTGGCTTACACTATTCATCATTTAATAACTTCAAGCTTGTAGGATATAGCAACTGGAATTGGGTTGAAGATATGGATGATAGAAAGAACATCACAAAATTTGTGTTCTTTTTGGAAGGCACTGCTTTCACTTAGATGTCAAAGAAATAATCAATTGTAACTCTTTCTACTTGCAAAGCAAAGGATGTTGCCTAAAGCATGCTGAAAGAATTAAGTTTACCACAAGAAAAAACAATAAAGATCATATTAATAACAAGCCAACAATAGCATTGGCCAATAATTCAATTTTTCATGTTAGAAGTATGCATATTGATACACGTTATCACTAGATAAGAGAATCTATCACAAGAGAAGAGATACAAGTTGAGTACGGGAAGTCTCAAGCCCAAATTGTAGATATTTTTGCCCTGTAGCTCAAAATTGAAAATTTTATCAAGATACAAAGTTTGCTTAGAATGATATAATGAATTTTAAGAGGAGATGTTGAAAATTAAACTTGCTTTGGCCTATATGTAATTGAGCTTTAATCTAGAATGATGTTTAGATAATTCTAAAGACTATTCTAAAGAAGATTTTATAGTATTCTAGAGACATTTTAAAAGAGTATTTAGAAATATCTAAAATAAGTAGTTAATGAGCTTGCTTTGGCCCATATGTAATTTACCTTTAATGTAGAATGTTCTTTGGAGAATTCTAAAGACTATTCTAAAGAAGATCTTAGAGTATTCTAGAGATATTTTAAAAGAGTATTTAGAAATATCTAAAATAAGTAGTTAATGGCTTTTGTCATGGAAGATAGGAGATTATTCTAGAGAGTCATGGTGCTCATAGAATTGTAATTTGTTTCACATTTCTAATGGGGGTGTCACTAGTATAAATAAGTATAGTGTCTTTAAGTTTGTATAAAGAAGAAAATAGCGAGAAATAAAGTTATCTCTTTCATCAATAAAGATTTATTCTTCCTTCCTCTTAGCCTTAATCATGTCCTAAAATCTTTCTATTTCTATTATTCGCAGGTCTTATGTGACTGTTACAGCCCAAATGGAGAGCCAATCCCCTCTAACAAACGATATAATGCCGCTAAAATTTTTAGCCATCCTGATGTAGCTGCTGAAGAACCTTGGTAACCTGAATAGTTTTTAAATTTGTTTAAATTACTATTTATGACCTGTCTTATGAAATTATGATTTGAAATATTTTCTGTGTCGTGCTATGCTCTTTGCCAGGTATGGAATTGAGCAGGAGTACACTCTTCTTCAAAAGGATGTCAAGTGGCCCCTTGGCTGGCCATTGGGTGGCTTTCCAGGCCCCCAGGTGATAAATGCTACCAATATTATTATATTGTTAACATTTACATTTCTATCTTAAACTTCTGTTCACTAATGCATTATTCAACCAAATTTTTTTTTAGAATATTACCACAGTTGACTAAGGGTTGTGTCCTCTAAATATTTTGTGTTTTTTGTCTCTTTACATTATTTATTGGCTTTTATTAGTCAAATTGTTCTTATTCCTCTGAAATTAAACAATTTTCGGCTTGTGTTTGAGCTAATATACTCAGCAAATCATTTCTTCAATCTATCTGAACCTTATGCTCATGCTCATCAATGTGACTTTGTAACAGGGTCCATACTATTGCTCCGTAGGTGCCGACAAATCATTTGGTCGTGATATTGTTGATTCCCATTACAAAGCTTGCCTATATGCAGGGATCAACATTAGTGGCGTCAATGGAGAGGTGATGCCTGGTCAGGTAATTAACTTCTTTCTTTTATTCCTTGGGCATTTACATTTGTACCAACCAATTATTATGTATTTACATATCTAACACCTAAGCTCTACTTACGCGTTTATACCACCCAAATCTTTCATATCAAATAAAAAATATGACTTTTTTTTAACTTTTGAAATATGATTTCATGCATAGGTAAGGTGGCACATATGTAAAAAATTGGAGTTTTAAGTGAGATATTAACATACATTGGAATTTAGTGGTATTTATGTAAACTTTCCTATCTTTTTTTTTTTTTTTCCTGTTTTGATGTAAATGGAAATTATGAATGTTGTGCTATCTTGTAGTGGGAATTCCAAGTTGGTCCAGCCGTTGGCATTTCTATTGCTGATCAGTTATGGATTGCTCGCTATATTCTCGAGGTTTGTATCTCCTCTCATTATTTGCAGAGCAAATTTCATCCTGAACTTGTAATTTTTATTGTTCCTTCGCTAATACTAACTTTGGTATTTCTGTAATCAGAGGATTACTGAAATTGCTGGTGTGCTCCTTTCGTTGGACCCAAAGCCCGTGCCGGTTGGATCAATTTTATGTTTGTTTTGATCAAGAGGTTTCCATATTGAAATGAATTCTTTTTGCATGATTTGAAATTAAATTTATAATTATACATTTGTTTTAGGGGGATTGGAATGGCGCTGGCGCCCACACGAATTATAGGTAAAAAATTTTTTTCTGCCATTCAAATACCACTTTTTCCTCGTTTTTACTTATTTGTTTCAAAAATAGATTATTTGGTTTTCAAACTTTTGGTTTTTTTACTTTTAGCACAAAATCTATGAGGGGAAACGGAGGGTATGAGATCATAGAGAAGGCCATTGAGAAACTTAGCCTCAGGCACAAGGAACACATTTCTTCCTATGGTGAAGGCAATGAAGATCGCCTCACTGGAAAACACGAAACTGCTGATATGAACAATTTTACTTGGGTAAGCTCTTGAAATTTAATTTTATAACGTTTAAAGAATAAATAACCTATAAAAATTTACATACTTAGCACACAATTCTTATGTATTTACAAATTCAAATCAATAGAAAAAAATGCTCCAGGAAAACCTGCTCATTTCATTATTGGTTTGGGCTTATATGGAGCCTCATAACATTTACAAATAAATATTAGATTTGGGCTTATATGGAGCCTCATAACATTTACAAATGAATATTTAGACTTCTTCTATTTATAAATAGGACCCTAACATTAAAAAGAAATCTCAACACTCTCCCTCAAGGAGGGCAAAAGATATCCACTAAGCCCATCTGGTCACATAACCTAGACAAATCTAATGAGCTAGGTCCTTTGGTGAGATAGTCGGCCACTTGCTCTCCAATGGTTACATGACTTGGTTCCAGTGGTCAGCTATTCAACTTTTTATTAATGAAGAACGTATCAATCTCCACATGTTTGGCTCATTCGTGTTGCACCAATTGTTTGGCGATGTTGACCGCTGACTTGTTGTCACACCACAATTTATTTGAGCTCCTCGGTCAACCTTGAGTTCTACCAACAAGGCTCTCAGCCACATCATGTCAGCAACTCTTAAGGTCATGGTCTTATACTCTTGTCTCTGTTGTCGACCTCGCTACTACTGGTTTTTTCTTGCTCTTCCAAGAGACTAAGTTGCCCCTACGAACATGCAATATCCAGATGTGGACCTCCTGTCATCCATATCTCCCAATCAGAGTCACAATAGCCTTCAATGTTTACATGTTCATTCTTTCTAAAGATCAACCCCTTCCCTGGTGCACTCTTCAGGTACACCAAAATCAGATATACTGTTTCCATGTGACCCTTCCTTGGATCATTCATGTAGCGACTCACCACACTTATCACAAATGATATGTCGTGACGAGTGTGACTCAGATATATGAGACGACCTACGAACTTCTGGTACCTCTCATGATTAACTGGCTCTCTTGCCTCTTCGCCCAACTTTCCCTTCTGATCAATTGGTGAAACTGCATGCTTTCATTCCAACATGCCTGTCTCTGTGAGCAATTCTAGCATATACTTCCTCTGAGATAGAACAATCCCCTTCTGCTTCATGAGCCACCTCGATTCCGAAGAAACATCTAAGCTATTCCAGGTCCTTCATCTCAAACTTTTTGCCCAAACTTGTCTTCAGCTGAGCAAACTCTCCCTGGTCATCCTCAGTGACAATCATATCATCCGCATACACAACAAGAATAGTAATGCGACCACCATGTCGTCGAAGAAATATTGTGTGGTCGGCATTGATTTGCTGATAGCCCATGTCTATCATTGTTTTCCTGAACATGTCAAACCAAGCTCAAGGAGACTGTTTCAAACCGTACAGTGACTTTCTCAAGCTACATACCTTACCCACCGTTTGGTTCTTGTCGAAGCCTATGGGTATTCCATGTACACCTCCTCTAGCAGATCCCTATAAAGATACACAATCCAGTTGTTGTAAGCTCTATTCACCATTCACAGTCAGAGACAAGAGTCATGACTATGCTCATTTTTGCCACTGGTGCAAATGTTTCATCGTAGTTGATGTCACACATCTGACAATACCCTTTCTCCACCAACCGTGCTTTGTAGCGATCAATTCTTTCTTATGAGGTATGCTTCACTGTGAAGATGCATTTGAACTTGATCGTCTTTTTTCCTACTGGTAGCAACGCGAGCGCCCATGCCCTGTTCTTATCGAGAGCACCAAGTTTTTCCAACATTGTAGCCTTCTACTTTGGGTCCTTCCTTAGTTACCTGCCAACACTTGAATATAGAGACAATGTCCAAAAATTCAATGAATGTTTTAGTTACCTGCCAACACTTGAATATAGAGACAATGTCAAAAAATTCAATGAATGTTTCATATAAAGGTGATATGTTAGAGTATGAGACAAACTGGGCAATGTATGTGAGAAACCAAAACTATCAAGAGGATAACCCGCATTGTTGGGAAAGGTCCTCCTTAAAGTCATGGGAGTGGGATGAAAAGAGGGAGGAATCATATCACTTGTGTAATCGAATTTTGAAGTGGATGGTGTAGGTGCCTCAGGATTCGGGTTAAACCATGAAAAGGACTTGTTGACATGAGTGCCACGACAAGTACTGTTCCCTCATTCTGTCTTCTCTTCCTTATATGCACCCTTAGCTCCCTTTGAGCTTGAATCTCACCACTTTCGGGCTCATTTTCCTCAACTTTTGGCTCTTCCTCAGTCGATCTTTCCCGCACAACGGGACAAGGCATCATCCCCACATGTATCAATCACTTACCATCAATACTCTCCCCCCCTTGTCTCATACTTTAGCATCTAACGAGTCACCAAAAGGTGAGGTTATCTCCAAAGTATAATATGGCTCGAATTCTCTAAATACATTCATACAAACAATATCTTCTCTAATGGGATCCAACAAACATACCCCTCTTGATTGGCGGAATAACCTACGAAAATATACTTCACAGCTCTTGGATCTAGTTCCCAATTGATGGTTTATTATCCTTCACAAAATATACCCAACCAAATACCTTCAATAAGAGGATCCCGCCATTATCTTCTTTTAACAATTCACAAGGAGATTGACAGTCTAACACTCCTGAAGGTATTTTGTTGATAAATTGAACGACTATCAAAACAACTTGCCCCCACAAATGTTTTGGGACATTTATCGAAATTATCATGCTTCTGACTACTTCTAGAAGGTATTTATTCTTTTTCCTTGATTCTGTTTTGTGTCGGTGTGTATGAACAAATGGTTTGATATTGTATCCCTTGGGTTGGCATGTACTCCTCAAACGTCTTGGTATACTCTGTATATGTCAACCAAAGGCTGTCTTGTACCATCAACGGTCTGAATGCTCGCTAGAACTGCTATGTGACTATATGAAGAGAACTCACTAACAACTCTTGTCACATATCGAGATGCACCAGAATCTACTATCCATTCTAATGACCTTGTGGTGGATATAAAGGCAAAAACATGTGTATCACAAGTATCTTTTGCTGAGTGAGCATAAGTAGCAATATTCTCAGATGACGATAAAATGTATGTTGTGAAAAACGACGACAATAAAGTGAAAAATGTAACGAAAAAAATTGCACGCAGAAAAAATGCCAGAGCGACACATAGATTTATGTGGTTCGACAAATTTGCTTACGTCCACGGAGCTGCAGGGGATTTATTTCTTAGAGGAATCACACCGTCGAGCGTCTCGACGTTTACAAGAAAATCTCTATTTTCTTCTCTCCCTTCCCCTCTCTCTCTCTCTCTCTCTCTCTTTTTCCTTTAGCTCTCAAGA